AGGAGGCAGCCGATCAATGATTCTCATCATGGATGTTTCTCTCTCTCCCCCTTTCCCTTCCTCTCAGAAATCAGTAAAAATATATTTTAAGAATAGTGCTAGACTGCTGCGTAGCAAACACTTAGCTGTGGGCCAGGGCTGTGTGTGCAGAAGAGCGAACTCATAATCTGATGGACCGGACGCTCTTCCAAACGCTTCACAGGACCTGGCTCACTTCCGCTCACAGCCGTGCGACCAGGAGTCTGGGATCATTCCCACCTCACGTCCAAGGAAGCGGGAGGAGGGAGGTTGCGCGACCTGCTCAAGGTCACCGGCAGGCACCTGGCCTGGCGCCCAGCTCCGGTGCAGGGTGTGACCTGTCACGGTCCAGGACTTCTTCTGCGAATACAGAGGCCCCATCACGGAGGGGACTGGTCTGCGGTCTCTGAGTGGACACGCCGTTAGCATCCTCGCCCGCATGACAGCCCCTGTGTCCTTCCCACCGTGCAGGCCAGTGAGCGTCCACCCGGGCAGCTTCGTTCTGTCGATTGACTAGACCTTGTGACCGAGAGCATTCATCTCCAGCTGGAAACTGAACCTGAGGCCCCAGCTGGTGTGGCTCAGTGGATAGAGCACAGGCCTGTGGACCGAAGGGTCCTGGGTTCGATCCCGGTCAAGGGTACATGCCCGGGTTGCGGGCTCGATCCCCAGTGGGGGTGTGCAGGAGGCAGCTGATTCTCTCTCACCATTGATGTTTCTCTCTCTCCCTCTCCCTTTCTCTCTGAAATCAATACAAATATATTTTTAAAAAAGAAAAGGAACGGAACCGGATGAGCTATTATTGTTTGGGCTGAAACCTCCACTCTGGACAGCTCTCTCCGCCTCAGTGACGTTCTTAGGATGTCTTGGAGCTGAATGGGAACACTGGTCCCTCCTCCGCTCGTGGACTGATGTTCCGTGGGAACGTACATTTCCATGTCCACGGACTGATGTTCTGTGGGAACGTGCATTTCCGTGTCCACGGACTGATGTTCCGTGGGAACATGCATTTCCGTGTCCACGGACTGATGTTCCGTGGGAACGTGCATTTCTGTGTCCACGGACTGATGTTCCATGGGAACGTGCATTTCCATGTCCACAGACTGATGTTCCGTGGGAACGTGCATTTCCGTGTCCACGGATTGATGTCCGTGGGAACGTGCATTTCTGTGTTCACAGACTGATGTTCTATGGGAACATGCGTTTCCGTGTCCACGGACTGATGTTCCGTGGGGACACACATTTCCACATCCACAGCCCAGAGAGAGACGTCCGTGGTGAAACAGCCTGATCGGAGGCGGCTGTGTGTGTCAGTAAAGGTTAATGAGGAACCATCCATTTTCCCTGATAAAACATTAAAGTGAAATGATGTGATTAGCCATCGCTTCCTCTGTGCTCCCAGGGCAGGCGGGAATGTTCCACTTACAAGAAGCGATTTGTGTAACTCCATCCAGATCGCTTCTGGAGTCGCACACGTCTCTCTTCTGCTGTGTCAGCTCGTGGCTGCGGTGCTTTCCTACGTGTTTCCTGGGGTGACACTGGGCGCCATTATGGACCTGACACGAGGAGGCATTCAGTTACGGAGCCTGCGGTGGGATTCCTGGCTCTCGATTACGATTTTGTTATAAATGGCTCGCTAATGACGCTGGGGTGCAGAGGTTAATGGGGTGCCCTCCAGCCAGGGAATTGAACGCCGGCTATTTTGGGAGCAGCGATGCGATCTCTCACGGTGGTGGCGGGTTCCCACGGTGGCAGCCTGCGGCCACAGGCCCCACATTGAGCCCGCTGGGAGCAATCTCCTGAAATCTCGCTGAAACGTACACCTGGTGCTGAGGGTTAACACCTGAGCGGGCGCGCCCGGTCCCGTCTGACCCGAGTCCGCTGGCACCGAACGTGGTGAGGGCGGGGCCTGCGTGGCTCCATTTGAAAGGCAGGACAGCCGAGTGTCGGGTGTCCGAGGGACTGTTTCGGGGTCACCTGTGGCGCGTGGGAAAGGCCAGGCCAGGGACGGAGTAGCCATCCATCCTCCCTCAGTGCAGGCCGTTCATCTGCTGTGTGTTCACGGAGGTGCATCGGTTAAGAGCTGTGCATATTGTAGGATCCTTTGGGAAGATCCTGAGCCACGCCAGCCAGGCCCAAATACTATTTTTTTTATGACATCACAACCCCCCCCCCCATCTTGTCCGGACTCCAGGCCCTGACCTGGGCGCCCCCCTCCCGCTGTGGCCACCGTCAGCGGCTCCCTCTCCCTGGGTGTGTTTACTTTGCTGGGATTGAGAAACCTTTGTTCTGGTTTGGGAATGTTTTGCCCCTTCTGCTGGGTCGAGAATTGTACATTCTTGTCTTGGAGCATCAGAGACCGTGTTTTCTTTAAAAATAAATTAATGAGGCCCTCCACGCCCGGGACGGGGTGGGAACTCGCCCCCCATGGTGACCCTGGCGGGTGCCTTATCTCCGACGCTAAAGGCAATGTGTTCTTGGCTGAGGGACGGGCCTGCCCTTTTGTGTCTTTGGTTTTGGAAGGATCGTTTGTCCCGAGAGGGGGTCAGGGGTGGTGGACAAGTTGGGAGGCCGGAGGTTGGAGCCTGGAGGCGCGAAACACTCCTCAGACTCCTCGAGGTGAGGGCGGCGGGAGCCTGGGATGTCCCAGTTCCGGGGCAGCTTGCTCCCACGGCCCCCTCACCGCCCACTCCGCTCTTCTCAGAACTGCCTGACCCCTGACTCAGCCCTCGCGGGCCAGAGGTTTCTCAAGCTGCCTCCCTGAACCTCGGGGAGAAGTTCATGGCCGGCGTGTTTTAGAAATTCTGTGTGTCTTCCTCTCCTGTGGGCTCACAGGGCTCATGAGCAGATGGAAGGCCCCGAAAAGTCCTGCTGTCAAGAAGTCTGTCTGTCTGTCTGTCTGCCCTGGCTGGTGTGGCTCAGTGGCTAGAGCATCGGCCTGCGGACTGAAGGGTCCCGGGTTCGATTCCGGTCAAGGGCACATGCCCGGGTGGCGAGCTCGATCCCCAGGAGGGGGCGTGCAGGAGGCAGCCAATCAGTGATTCTCTCTCATTGTTGATGTTTCTCTCTCTCTCCCTCTCCCTCTCTGAAATTAGTAAAAATATATTTAAAATACTTTTTAAAAAGTCTGTATTCTGTCCGTTCCAACTCTTCCCAGTGGTTTAAGCACAAGCAGGGAATGCTGGGGAAGCCCTTTCAGGAGACGCTGTGACTATTGCCCGGCCCACGTCGTTGTTAAAGCACCGGCTTCGCCGCGGGCCCAGGGCGGGCAGCCTCCGCTAGTGACTTCCCGCTGAGCCCGCCAGCCAGCAGGACGAGGCCCTGACGCAGGACTGATCCCCCCGTCCCTGGAGACGGCAGGATCGAGAGGGTGTGCGGACCGTCGGGGTGCGTCCACCACGCTCGGGCAGGGGCACGGAGGGGAGTCAGTGCGGTGGGATCTCCCACTTCCAACGCCATTTCCGATGTCCTTGGCCTTCACGCCAATTAAAAACCGCCTGTTGTCATAGTCACTGCTGATGCGAGTACCATGGACGGCACCTCCCTTTCAGGGGGTGGGAAAGGCGTGCAGACATTATGCCAACTCCTTCCATGCACCAGCTACTTTAGTGCTTTGGCAGACGGGTCGGGAGGGTCTCCGGTCCTCACGTTACTGGCGAGGAGACCAGAGCTCAGAGAGGTTGTCCGGCTTCCTCAGCGTCACACAGCTCGTGCGTGGCGGTCTACAGCCCCTGGAACTGAGGAGGTTTGGCTTTTTAAAAAAAATATTTAATTTGATTGATTTTAGAGAGAGAGCAAGGGAGAGGGATGGAGAGAGAGAAGCATGGAGGAGGGAGGAACATCCATCGGCTGCCTCCTGCACGCCCCCTACTGGGGATCGAGCCCACAACCCGGGCATTGGACTGGTCACCTCTCGGTTCATGGGTCGACACTCAACCACTGAGCCACATGGGCCGGGCCGCCTTTTTTTTTTCTTTTTTCCTACATCTACCAAGATGGATCATCCAGGCAACAATACATTTTATAACCACAAGATGCTGTGCATAGACTTTAAAGACTCGTGTTGTTCCCAGGACGATGCCGGGACAGCGAGTGCAGGGTCTGAAGGGTGACGCCTCACGGGGGATGCTGCACGCTGGGCCTCGCTGCTTAGGGACCGCGAGCGAGTGGTGTTTGTGTGATCCACCCTGCGAGGAGCGTCCTCGTCCGCCTGGATGCTTGTGAGCCCCTGCTTCCTGCACGGGCAGGGAAGCCGGGGTCCCGGGAGGAGGCGTCGGGCCTCCGGAGAGGAAAGCATTTGTCCTCCGCCTGCTCCTGGCTGCGCCGCCCTCCTTCCTGGGCGTTCCGTCGGCTTAACACGCCGATATTTCAGTTCGTCTCTCACGTTCACCGTCACCGGCTGAGCCTGAATCTGGGAAAGATTCCAAACCCCGGGACTGAGGGCTCCCGTAACTTAGCCGGGTCGGGGGTGGTGGTGGGGGGGGGGCTTGATAGGTGGGCAGAATACGAGGTGTCTGACGTGGGGCTGGTGCTGCTGGCGTTGGGGCCACGTTTGCTGGCCGAGACTGAACCCCAAAACCAGGCGCCAAGGCCCCAGGACCTCCCTGTACCCTGGATGGTTTCCTGCGACTTGTTTGTGACCCAGAGGGCTGGGCCAGAGCCTTGCTGTCTCTCCTTGGAAGATGCCCCCGGTTACTGTGTCACCGCACGATGGAACAAAACCTCTTTTCTTGCCCGGCCCGCGTGGCTCAGCGGTTGAGTGTCGACCCAGGAACCAGGAGGCCACGGCTCGATTCCCGGTCAAGGCACAGGCCCGGGTTGCGGGCGTGATCCCCAGTGCGGGGCGTGTGGGAGGCAGCCCATCTGTGATTCTCATCATGGATGTTTCTATCTCTCCCTCCCGCTCCCTTCCTCTCTGAAATCAATAAAAATATTTTTGAAAAGAACAAACAAGAAGATCTCTTTTCTTGCCGTTTAGGTGATCTGACGCTCTAAGGACTGGCCTGCCTCCGAGGAGGAGACATCCGCAGGAGCACGGGATGTAGAAGGGGTCCCCGCGGATGGCGTGCCGGCCCGGCCCCCCGAGAAGACCATGACTCCTGCCGATCTCCTGGGCATTCCCACGTTCTCCAGCGAGGCCTCCCCCACGTCCTCCCGTGCCCGGGGGGAACCTGAGGGACGGCGGGGCTGCCTGCAAGCGTGAGGCCGCGGCTCTGGCGGAGCATGACCCTGGGAGGTCACGTCCTCTCGTCTTCCCGTGGCACCAGAGGGCGCTCTCCCCTGTGCCCTGGGGCTGCGGCGGCACCTCCTCCTTTTTACACCCGTGGCCCGTGCCTTCCGACCGCCCCCTGTGCCCACAAGACGCCCTTCCAGCCGTCCGCCCGCCTCACGCCCCCGGCTCCTCGCCCATGGCTGGGACCGGCCGGCCGCGGGCGCTACCATGAGGCACTGCATTGACGGTGGCATCCAGTTGTCACCTGACGACACGCGAGCAGGCCCCCCCCACGTTCCCCAGGAGGGCGCCACGTCCCGCGTGGACGGGAAGCTGATGAACTTGCTGGCCGTGCTGGAGGGGCGGCCGGACGGGAGCGAGAGTTGGGGCGGGTGCTGGCGCTTGGGGAAGGGGCGGCGATGCAGCCTGGCGTTCGGGTTGGTCATCATGACCTTGGTGATGGCCTCCTACATCCTCTCGGGGGCCCGCCAGGAGCTCCTGCTCGCCTCGCCCTTCCGCTACCGCGCCTTCCCCGGCAGCCCCAGCCCGCCGGACGGCGAGATCCCGAGTGACGCGCAGGAGCCACATCCCCAGCCGCCCGCAGGCAACCTGTCCTCCGCGAGGGACGCCCCGGGCCTGAGGTCAGTCATCGACAGCATCGCGGCCAGGGTCACGTTCACGGCCAGGCAGCTCCCGGGCACAGACGACCTCAGGAGGCAGGAGCCCCACGTGAGTAGCTCCCGCTAGACTGTCGATGGGCGGGTTTTGAACAATGGGTGCTTCTCTGTCAGCATCGTCGGGAAGAATTTCTCCGGGGGACGGGGGTAATCGGACGCCTGTGGCCCAGGGCACACAGGAGAGTTGTCTGTTACAATGTTACCTGAGAAGGGACTTCCCGATATAAATGGTGCAGCTGGACAGCTGAAGGGGGATGGACAGGTGGTCACGGCGATTTCAGCTGCTTTTTCTTTTATTTATATACTAGAGGCCTGGTGCACGAAATTCATGCACTCGGGGGAGGGTCCCTCAGCCTGGCCTACGCCCTCGCAATCCGGGAGCCCTCGGGGGCTGTCCAACTGTCCAGCTTAGTTGGACACAGTCAGACATCCTTAGCGCTGCCGCTGAGACGGGAGACATTCCCGCCACCACCGCTGCGCTCGCCAGCTGTGAGCCCGGCTTCTGCCTGAGCGGCTCTCCCCCTGTGGGAGTGCACTGACCACCAGGGGGCAGCTCCCGCATTGAGCATCTGCCCCCTGATGGTCAGTGTGTGTCATAGCGACTGATCGTTCTGCAGTTTGGTAGATTTGCATATTAGCCTTTTATTATATAGGATAGGATGTATTTTTATAAAAAGATATATATATTTTTTTATTTCAGAGAGGAAGGGAAAGGGAGAGAGAGAGAGAAACATCAACGATGAGAGAGAATCATGGATCGACTGCCTCCTGCAGCCCCACCCTGGGGATCAAGCCCACAACCTAGGCAGGTGGCCTGACTGGGAATCAAACCATGACCTCCTGGTTCATAGGTTGATGCTCTACCCTCCCTCCCTCTCCCCGGCCGGGCTAAAGCTGCTTTTTAGGTCTCCCTCACCCTGTTTCCATTCTGTCCTAATTAGTACTTTTGTCTCCATTCAATATACAACCAGTGAAAAGGCCCCCACTGTTTACCTAGCCTGTTGTGTGTGTGTGTGTGCGTGTGCGCGCGTGCGCATGTGTGTGAAAGATAAATCATGCTAGGGTGACTCTTGATCAAACTTTCATCTTCGTTTTCTCCAAAGGTTTTTTTACTTTTTAATTTTGGGCTAAGAAAAGG